TTTTTTTTTGGATTGAAATGTGAAGAGAAAAGAAAAGAGAATGAAGGAGTGAAAAGGTAGGAAGAGAAAATAGAATTTGAGGGGTGGGGTGTATTTAGTAGAAATAGAAAATTTAATTTTGAATTTTAGGTGTTTTTAATAGTGAGGTGTTTAAAGTAAAAAAAAATGTGTAAATAGAATTTGTTAGCTCAAAGATTTGGAATAAACCAATATGGGGGTGACTTGGTTTTTAATGAAGTTTTCAAAAACATTATTCAATAAGCACAAGTTTTGCCAAACAATTAAACACAATAATTGAAAGTAAATAAGAGATAGAGATAGAGAAGATAACACCGTAATTTATAGAGGTTCAGTCCTTCCTTAGGCACCTACGTCTTTTCCTTTAGCCTCTCTTACCAAGGAGTTCAATCCACTATATGAAAAAGGTTACAAGCAAGCTTTTCAAAGCTTTACAAGAACTTAACTCAACACACTTTTAAGGGTTATCCTCCCCCTTAAGCTTACAAGCACACAATACAAATTTTTGAAGTGTTTTGCAAACTCTAAGAACCTCTAAAAGGTTGGGTGTTTGCTAATTTGAAGTACACAATGGTATAGACAAGAAAGTGATGAATGAACAACAAAAATAGTTTGGATACAATAAATACAAAGATATAGACTTTGAAGCTCTAAAAACTCTTGATTATTTGAAAGAATGAAAATATTGCTTGTTGACTCTTGCTCTCTTAATACCTCCTTCTTCTTGGTATGTTGGAGTGCCCAATTTATAGAGAAATTGAGCAACTAGCCGTTAGGGAAGCTTGCAGTGAAGAAATGCCTGTTGAAAGCACCAAAAAATATCATTGGAGTGCCTGCACCTAAAATCGATTGATCCCTTACTTAAGGGAATCGATTGGTTCATGTTGGAGAAGGCACAACTTTATGCCTAAAAAGCTTTACCCGATCGATCCCTTCCTTGAGGGGATTGATCTATTCTTTAGGTGATCGATCCCTTATGTAGGGGGATCGATCCCTTTTTTGGATTTTCAAACTTGGGGAGCATTATATTTGAGCAACCAATCGATCCCTTTTAAGAGGGGATCGATCCCTTTTGTGGGTTTTCAGACTTAGGGGGCATTCTGTTTGAGCAACCGATCGATCCTTTTAAAAGAGGATCGATCCTTTACCATAGGTGATCGATCCTTTATGTGGAGAATCAATCTTTTTTTTAGAAAATTGAGGGAGGTGGTGATTCTGTATGAAAAAGTAATCGATCCCTTCTAGAGGGGATCGATCCTATCTAGTTGGGTGGTAGTCTCCTATTTTGTACTCTACTTACTAATTTGATCATATCTTGAGTTATATAAATCTAACTTATAAACCATTTGAAGATTTAGAAACTAGATTTAATAGGGCTTTCTATCCATATAAAGTTCATCACCTAATTCTCCGTGTACGAATTATAGTGAATTTTCAAATCTACCACTTATGCAGTTTTTTGGACAACTGCAGTGTGTCTAGTAAAAATTCAAAATCTTTTCTTAGACAATTTGGATTTTCATTTTGTTTGATCCATTAGAAAGTAGACTCAAAGAGTTTTCCAACCACATAAAATTCAAATATTAAAACCTTGTGAATTTATACAGAAAAATAAAATAAGTTCAATGTTGGAAGATTTTGTTTTTGTAAAGCAACTTTCCTAAGTTAATCTATTTCTCAAAACCAATATTATCAAAATTGTATTAAGTCCAAAATGAATAAGTTCACTTTCAAAACAACAATTGGACTTTCATTTAAGCTCAAATAAATAATCTTTAAAGGAAGATTTGATTTGAGAAATATGACATCAAGAAAGATTTGTTTAAACTTTGAAAATCATATTATTTATTTAGTACCAAAATATAAAACTTAAGAACATGTATTAAATAAATCTTTTTCAAAATCTTGATCAAGTTTATTTACCTTTAATGTTTTTTCATTTCAAAATAAGGATCAATTCAAGGCTAACATAATTCGTTTTAGCTAATTCATTAACATAAGTTCAAAAAAATGATAATGCCTTCCTATGTAAATGAAAAATACCACTCTTTCAAATAATAAATTACTATAATGCCCTCATTTCTTAAATGACAAAAATATCCCTCTTATAAATGCTCACTATACCCTATGCCAAATATCAAATTACTATAATACCCTTATATTATAATTATAAAAATACCCTTCATACCGTATTGGGCTAAAATTACTATAATATTTCTTCTACTATAATTACGAAAAATTTTTACTACCATGACTGATCAAAATTATTATAATATCCTTCTATCATAATTATGAAAATGCCTTTCTAAAATTTGGTCAAAATAACTATAATGCCTTTTATCATAATTATAAAAATATTCTTATAATTACTTAATAGGAAGTTAACATGTGTCATTTTATTTAAAAATCTATACCTATATAATTAAAGTAAATCCCTTATAAATGATAATTATGCCCTTCCAATTATTTATTTATTGCTTGACATGTGTACAAATTTATTATAATGCCCCATTTTCATAATCAACTAAAATTACTATAATGTCTTCCTATTATAATTACTAAAATGCCCATACTATCATAATTATAAAATTGCTCTCCTATTATGATTAGCCATATTTACTATAATGATTCTCATACCATAATTAAGGATATGCTTTTCTACCATAATTTGTCAAAATTATTTTAATACATTACTAAATTACGTATCTATAACAATAATTAAAAGTAAACTCCACCAAAACTACATTAATACCTTTTTAATTGTTTCATAATTCATTGATATGTGACATTTTATGTCATCTTTGTCAAAATTATAAAAATACCCTTTTATATCTATTTAATTACATCATGTAAATTACTATAATACCGTTCTTTTCATCAATAGCCAAAATTATTATACTACCACTCATGTCATAATTACAAAAATATTTTTCCTACCATAAATGGTCAGAATTACTATAATATCCTTCTTATCATAATTATAAAAATACCTCTAATACTATAATTGGTCAAAATTATTATAATATCTTCTAACTATAATTATAATAAAGCCCATTTTAATTGCTTCATAGTTACATATTAAATTTTAACATCTATATAATAATAACTATAATTAAAAGTAAACTCCAACCAAAATTACATTAATACTCTTTTGATTATTTCATAATTCATTGACACATGACACTTGATGTTATCCCTCACCAAAATTATAAAAATGCCCTTCTATGTCTATTTAATTACATCATATAAATTACTATAATGCCTTTTTCTCATAAAATAGCCAAAATTATTATACTACTACTCTTGCCATAATTATGAAAATATTTTTCTTACCATAAATGATCAAAATTACTATAATGCTCCTCATACCATAATTACAAAAATACTTTCAATATTATAATTATACAAAATTACTATAATATCCTCGTACAATACTTACAATAAATGCCCATTTTAGTTGCTTCATAATTACATATTAAATTTTAATATCTATAATTAGAAATAAACCCCCAACAAAATTACATTAATACCCTTTTGATTATTTCATAATTTGTTCACATGTAGCATTTTATGTCATCCTTTACCAAAATTTAAAAAATGCCCTTCTATATCTATTTAATTACATCATTTAAATTACTATAATGCCTTTCTTCTTTAATAGCCAAAATTACTATACTACCATTCCTATTATAAATCTAAAATACCCTTCATACTATAATTAGTCAAAATTATTATAATACCTCTCTTACCATAATTACGAAAATATCCTTAATACTATAATTGATCAAAATTATTATAATATCCTCTTACTATAATTACGAAAATACCCTTTTAATTGATTTATAATTACATATTAAATTTTAACATCTATATAATAATATGACAGTAATTCCCATCGAAATGATCATAATGCCCTTTCTAATTTTGACAATTGAATAACAGATGTTCAAATGAATTATAATGCCCTTTCTTCTATAATCAACTAAAATTATTATAACGTCTCTCTTATCATAATTATTAAAATATCTTTCCAACTATAATTGATCAAAGTTATTATAATGCCCTTCAGTCCTAATTATGAAAATGCCATCCTACTATCACTAGTCCAAATTACTATAATGCACCTCTTACTATATTAAAATTATTGATTTTTTTTCTTTAAAAATTTAAGTTGAACGGCTGATAATATTAGTGGCCTTTGATTTAATGGGTAAATGGGTTTGAATTTTATAATTGATCAATATTGATAATAGGTAAATATTGTGTTGATAAGTTGGATTATTATGTATGTATTATTAGATTTTGATTTAATCTATACAATTTTTTTTAAAGTAGTCTCCTTTATTTAAAATAGAAGCCAACACCTATTCAATTACAATTGAGTGGCATAATTAGAGCATCAATTTTTTTTTGTTTTTTTCAAAAAATTATATTTTAAAAAAATTATTTTTAATTTATTATTAAATTAAAAATTAAAAAAATTATATTTCATAAAAATAAAAAAAAATTGCAACCCGAGTGTAGTTAGGTAATTTTTCTAGTCATTTTTAAAAAACCAAAAGTTGAATCCATGAGGCTTCACAAATTTAAAAAAAAAAAGAAAAAAAATATTTAGGGTAAAAAATGTCCTTAAATTATAATTCAATACTCATTTAAATTTTTAATATTTTACTGTAATTAATCAAAACTTTAATCTTTTATTTTGATTTAATCAAACTCTTAAATGAATAAAATCCAATCATGTAATAAATATTAGTTGATCATGAATTATAGTTAATTGAACTCTTAGTTGGATCTTAAAGAAAGAAAGGAGAGAAAATAGAGACAAAAATTTATTTTATTTAATTTTTACATATATTAATTGTATCACATAACAAATTTTAATGTATTTTATTAATATCACATAAAATTTTATTTTAATTAATAAAAAAATAATGATATTAACTTTTTCATCCAAATAAAATTTTAATTGAATGCAAATAGATAAAGTTGATTGATTGTAAAAAAAAAAAAATTTAGACGATTTTTTAATTATAATTCATATACTTTTTTAACCCTTAGACAAAAAAGATCTTTGCTTTTGAATCTGGAGCAAAATCTATACTCCAATAAAAGGGTTTAAATTGAATCCATGGCTCTTAGCATCGAGGTGCAGCGTCAGTCTTACAAACAGGGCAAATATTTTTCTGCATAAGCCACTGCTTTATACATTGAATGTGAAAGCTGTGTCCACAATATAGTTTCCCCATCTCTTCATCTGCTTCATATTCCTCCTATATCCAAATTCAAAGAATATAAATTTACTTGAAATCAAAGAAGAATTATGATTGAATGGGAAAGAGACCGGACAAGAAAACAATTCATCAACACTCACCTGACAGATGCTGCACTTCTTATCCACATGCACAGGTAAGTTTGGTGTTAAATCATCATTCGTAATTGAGCCCTTAATTTTTCTGAGGCATCTGCTTATCTCATCTTCTTTCAATCCGGTGTTGACATAACCAATTTTATCACCAAGTTCCAGCAATTGCTGTTTTACAGCAGTAAAAAAGAAAAAACAATGTTCGTTATTTGAACAAGGATTACTACTTCTGTACATAACAAGAGGTGAACAAGGATTGATTCATCCATACCAACATACCTCATATGACATGTTGTCAATATCAAGCCTCCAGTCACTAAATCGATCACGTGAATCTAATCTTCCCCCCTTTAGCAAGTCGTTCTGTAGCATCATTATCTGCACCAGCCACCACCAACAATTTGAAATGCAAATTAAACAACGATCCTACCTCAACTTGATGATGAAAATATGAGACTGTTTCTAAAGTTTGTTTGCTTCACCAAAATGAGTACATGCAAGAGATTATATCACATAAATCCCAAAAGAAAATTAGGGTTTTTATAAACTATGAAACCAAGAAATTGGAGTTTAGTTCAGATGGTTATATAATCATTTTTAAGAGGTGGCTTCTAGCAGGTACAAGGCTCGAATTTCAATATTTACAACTCCTTACCTTATCCTCATACTATGCTCTCCTTTGGAAAAAAAAAATACTATGAAACCAAGAGACCTTAGTATCTTTTTCCAAATATAAAAGGAACCTGAAATCCATAATTCATAGTATCATTTAATAGGAATTTCTGGTGCACCAATACTTAGATGCAGAACCACTTGCTTTTTTGCTTTTGAGATATTAAAATCTCAATATATAAAAATCTCTCCTTTATTGGTCTGTTCAGGATTTATTTGAAGCTGCCCTACACGACATCATACAACATTTATGCAAAAGTATACCTTGTATTATGTACAACACTAGAAATATTTCTACAAGTACAATCTCTGAATTTTCTTGACACATAAAATTTCAGCCAAGCATCTTAAATTCAATGGTAACAATTGGCACTGACTTAATGAGTTATTACCACATAACAAATATAATAATAGCTTTGCCAAGGATTGCCTGGTTTACCCTCAATTGTTTCATATGATTCTACTTTGATTCCAATAATGTCACTTTTTCGTTTATTCACTCTTGGGTTTATTTCAGACAATACAAGTTAAAATGAATACTGTTGTGCTTCAGCTATTATTTGATGTTCCTTTTACAGTTAACTTCAAAAAATAAAATTCATGTTGGCAGCACAAAGATTGCATCATATACAGGAAGTAATATCAAATCAGTTTGAGTATTTCAGAAGCAAAGTTACAATTAAACTGTCCAATAAAGCAAGTCATATGCCAAGACCCCACCATTTAAAATAATTTTCATTAAACTATTTTGCTGAAGGTTATTGCATCAGAGAAAATTTAAGATCTTACAACTAGTTTCATCAGGCTCTGTTGACCAAACAAACTATTCTAGTTCAAGTGCCAATGAATCATTTTTGAATGGTTAACATTACTACCAGAAAAAGCTTTAAAGGAATAAATTTTAAAAAGAAAAAGAAACAGAGCTTAACCAATCACATGATAACCATCTTTTCCCCCAAAAAAGAGTTTACAACCAAAAAACACTTTAAACCATAAAGAAACAAGGAAAAACAAATATATGCTAAAATTTGTAAAAAAAAATAGAATATAAAACAATCAGACTTACCAGCAGCTAACAGCATTTTCTTTGAAGACCATAAGGAATATTTTGAACAGTATTGATTTTACTAAAAGAATCCTTGGATGTTATATTATTGCAAAAAAGAAAGCACGTGCACTTTACATCCCAAAATTGAATGTTTTAAAGCTATAATCAAATACGTTTTTCCAAATAACCAATGCTTTTTTTTTTTATAAGGAAGCCATCAAGAAAAGGAATTGTAAGTATTGAAATGTAAATTTTAAACTTACTGACTATTATCTGACTACAAAAACCAATAAGCTCATAACCAATGTTTGATTGCACAAATTATATTATTTCAAATTTCTATAGAAGACCACAAGAGTATAGACATACCTCAGCAAGCCCCTCTAGAGAAGGAAGGCGAACATGGTGGCAGTATCTAGCTCCAAAGAAATCAGGTTCAGGAGGTGTTGAACTATAGTCAGAATCAGAATCAAGAAAAAGAGATTCGGGATTTACAGGCCGCCTTGCTGAACAAGAAGGCTGTCAAGATAGATGAAGCACAATCAACCAACATGAAAAAAGTTATGTCGCAAATAGTAACATAGAGGGACACTGATCATGCTGAAAGGATAAAACACAATCAGTTCAACAACTTTTACTCTTAGTTGGAATTAAGTGGAGAAGAAACTTCTTTAGGGAGAGAAAAGAAGAGTCCTCAAATAATTCAGACACTGGAGCGATTAACAAAAGCTCGGTATAACTATCTACTTGACGGGGTCCTTGACGGTCTTTTATCCAAAGATATTGTCTTCCGTAAGTAACTAAGCTAAGTTATACGTGCATGGTTTTTTATTCCTAATTAAAAGAATTTATCAATGTAACATCACATGCTCAAAAAGATTAAAACTAAAAGACCACCCCAAAGAATCTACATGATACTACCAATAAAGCTTTTCAGCTGAGTACATGAAGCGGCGGATCCACATGTATAATTAGAATGTTTATGGACATTTTAAAAATTAAAAAACAAAAAATAATTGAAAAAAAAAAAACTTCTGAAAAAGCACACTAAAAAATTTCATGGTTGTACCAATTAAACTGAGAACAGCTGGAATATATCCTCTATTTAATGACAAGGCCAATGCTTCGGAATGGGGCTTGAGGAATTACTGAAGAATGCTCCTTTGAAAAAACAAATCAACTTCAGAAACATAAGTATGAAACAGGATGTAATTTTGTAAATATCATACGGAAATCAGGACGATGAAAATAGGTAAGTAACCCTCACTACCAATATGCTTGCTTCAAATGCAAAGAATGAACCAACTTAAGGCACAAGAAGACTTTAAGTAAGTGAAATTTGTTCATCCAAAAGGAGCAAATCCGTATGCTTGTCTAAACTATTGAAAATTTTCAAAGTTTTTCCTACAGAAGTTCTAACAACTTCTGTTTTTCAGGAAAATGAACAAAAAGATGGCGTTTGCTCAAGGGGAAAAATTTAGTCACGGATCAATTAACCACTTCATAATGAATTTATCAATGCCCAAAAAGTCTTAATTATCAAGAGGAGCATGAAAAGTCATTTAATTAACCATTGTTATAAATAAATGCATTGGCATGCTAAAGATGAACGCATCCACCAAACAAAAATCAAATCGACTAAGCACCAAAAAGGGGAAAAGAAGAACAAAAAAAAAAAAAAGTCTAATCCTGGTGCCAATTAATCCAGATCAAGGCAAAAAATTGCAACAGGTTAAGATAAGAAAAAAAAACATGAAAAAAAAAAATCTAACACCCAAATCAAAAAACAAAAAAGTGAAATTGTACCAAAGCAAACAAATTTAACACTCCAACCTCCCATAACTCAGAACTTATCCAATAACATGGAATTTAAGCCCAAATGACATAAATAATATGACATAAAAGGGTGAAAAAAAAAATACCTCCCTGTGGTTGATCTTTTCAACATCAATCTTCCCTCTAGCAGGCACATTTCTCCTTCCCACAACACAATCCACAGAGCCAACAGCATCAGCTGAAAACCCAATTCCAGGTCCACACCAAACATCCTGAATTAGCCCACAACTTTTGTTATAACCACTCCCTTCATTCAAAACCTCACCTTGCTGATGATGCACCTTAGTACTATTATTATTCTCATTACCAACAAGTTTACTACTTTTCTTCTTTTTCTTGTTTTCTTGTTCCTGCTGCTTTGTTTTCTTTTTCTTGTTCACTTTGTTAGCTTCCCAATCAGCTGATGCACGTATTATGGCACGCACCGACACCTGCTGTGATGCAGAGGCGGTGCAGCCAAGTCCTCTGAGAGTGCACTGGCTAAAAGGGTTTCCTTTCTTTTTTGTGTTTGTTGAAGGTTGTAAGCTTCTTGTTTTTGTTTCATTGTTGGTGGAGGAGAAAGTGGAGAGCAAAAGAGAGGAAATGCTGGATTTAGAACGAGTGGATTGGATTATAGATGGGATTTCTGGCACTGGGTTTGGATCAGTAACATCAGTTTCTGTCATGTTGATTTGGTTTCTGGGTTGTTTTCTGAGTTTTAGTCGTTCTGTTATTGTTGAAGAAGAAGAAGCCGAAACTGAGGTTTCTGTAAGAAAAGACATCGCTTTTTTTTTTTTTTTTTTGTGGTTTGGTTTGGTTGTTTTGCAAGCGAGAGAGAGAGAAATGTTAATGAAGAACAAGAGAATGTTGGAATTGATTTTTGAGTTTGAGAGAGAGAGAAGGGGGAAGATTGGGGTGTTTATTAATTATCTACGAATTATATTATATTATTTTTATTAATTAAATCAAATTTTTTAATTTTTTAATTAATTAAATAAAAATATGTTTAAATTAAATTAGATTTTAAATTTTAAAATTTTGATATTTAAAATAAATTAAATAAAACTATACAATAAAATATTAAAATATTTTGTTAAAAATTTTAACAATTTATGAAATAAAATAATTTATTTATATTTTATACTTAAAATTTTTTATATTTAAATTAAAATTTTTATTAATTCTATTAATTCAATTTTTAAATTAAATTAATTAAAAATTAATTTTTTTTTTAAATTATTTTTATTAATTAATCAAAAAAATTAATTTGATCGATTAATTTAATTAAAATCAAATTATTATGGGAACAGAGTGACTTTTTGAGATTTTTAGTGGAGATAATTTTGATTGAATGAGGAGCATTTTTGTGCAGCTCAATTTTTACGTGTTTAGGGGGCTATAGTTTGTCTTTTTGTTGGAATATGTGGGGATTTTGGTACCAAAAAGCAGGCTGAGTTCAGACCTCAGGAATCTGTAAAATGCAAACCAATGAGGCTGAGATAGTATTTCTTTTAGTCAGCATATCTATATTCCAAGGGAATAGTCTTCAAAATATAAGATTTGTGGGTTAGAGTAGATGCCCTTTCAAAGGGCCCTACAAAGAAAAAAAAAAAAAAAGAATTCAAAAGGTCAAAAAATCATAGGAGCATTGAAAATTGAGGAATACATTACATAAAATAAATTACAGGATATGATTGACTTTCGCTGCTAATTATATATTAGACCAAACAACAATTATGTGAGAAAGAGGATGTCTTAAGTGGAAAGCATCCTACTCTTGGGGGCGGGGGGGGCGTCCAATTCTGGGTCATTAAGCGTAATTTTTAGCAGAATCCTGGAAGATGTTTTTAATCATACTTTATTATCAATTCTGATTCTGAATATAATGCTTGTTTATTGCTATAATATGAAGGAGGATGCGACATTGGCCAAGCACCCAAGCAATTTGACCAACAAGCCAACAGGAAAAAGAAGAAAGGGGCATATTCCAATTTCACAGATCTTAGGTTCACCGGCATAGGCTACCACATTGGTGAGAAAAGAACCCATGAACTTGTTTCTGAATAGGATTCTCCAACCAAATTTGAATTTTGAAATAGGATTTCTACTTAAAAAAAAAAAAAAGAAAAAAGAAAAAATCTATGGGGCATTTCTCACTTTTGTCAAATTCTTTGAAATCTAGTTCTGGCTTTGCAATTGTGCCGGTGCCTAGCTAATTGTCCATGGACCATCAAAAAGGAACAAACATGTAATAAGGACAAAGAAAAAAAAGGGTTTTTCAATAGTTGATATTATATTGCTTAACCAAAAGAAAAACAAATAAAGTTTATTATGTAAAATTAATATTTTATATATTGTTAATAAATTAAATGATATTAATTTATTAATAAAATAAATAGAATAATATCATCTTATTAATAAATTAAATTTTTTAAAAATATTAATATTTATATATTTATTTTAAAAAATAATATTTATTCATTAATAAAATAATATCATCTAATTTATTAATAATATATAAAATTTATATATTAATAATATATCAAACGTAAACGCATAAACAAATAAGCCTCAATTCTTATTTATACTCGATCAAACTCTTCAAAATCGAAAAATCCGAAATTGTGAGTCATGTGAATTAAACATCTGCCAAGTATTCTGACACGTGGAATAGATTACCTAGGTGGCAGCTGATTTGGAAAAAAATTGCCAGCGAGGTTAATGGGTGGGCAGTAACTTTTCCGCCTTTGCTGAATACGTGGCGATATCTTATTCGCTACAAATAAAAACTTAAAAATAAAAAATCAAACAACCGGTTTTTTTTTTTTTTTGGAATTAACCCCGATAAAATCCCAAATAATCCCTGAATATAAAATCTGTCAAAAAACCCAAATTCCCCCAAACCGAAAAACCTATATATGATACCCAAATTGACAACATCAAGAAAAAGGCATCGGATTGTTTTTGCATAGAATCCAGTTCAAGTTGAAGAGGAAGTGAACCTATTTGGTGGTGGAAACGAATTTTGAAGGCGTGCGTAAGGTACCGTGCTTTTGTTTTTTGCTTTGTTTGGGTGCCAAGCTAAGGTCCTAGGAGACAGAGGAGCGGAACAGCTTAAGAAATTGGAGTTTGGTTTGTACTTGGTAAAGAAGTAACAGGGAAATGGTCTGGACAATGACTATGACTATGAGGCTGCAAAAGAGGTAGCCGTAGCTGCGAGAGACACGTTTTTCGCACGGATACGATGGACAAAGGGACAACTAGAGTAACACTGTTATGAGTTGTCCCAGTAAGCTGCTAGCAGACTTGACTCGAGTCGAGTCGACTCAAGAAATTTATCTTCGAGACAATAGCTAGAGATATCAGGCAATTTAATTCCAAAGGAATCTTGGACGAGTCCTTATTAGCTAAGGCCCCCGTCTAAAATAGGATTTGGAGTACAAATTCCAAAAGCCTTTTTAGGGCATTGCAACCTTTCACCATTAGACTGATTTGTTGGACACTGTTGGGCTGAGTTTTGTTATCAAATAAACAGCCTTAGTCAAAATATTGGGCTGAGTCTTTAAGCATTATTTGAATTGAAGTGCTTCACTGGAACTCTTCTGATTCACACAGCTAACCAAAAACGAAGTTAAGGCGTCAGTCCCAACATTTAGCCCCAGCCAATTAGACCCCCCTTTAACTCCCTCGATAGTCGATGCTGCTTCTCGTTTAGGGCGTTTGAAGTGGAGGTGAGACTTGAGTGGACACATGTGCAAGGTATATGCTTAAATTCATTTTAAAAAAAAAGTGTGGGTCATTTGGGAGGGCGATTGTCATCATGGTCATGAACTCTATAGTCTTAGTAGCGTTTATGGTGACGAATTAGTCGGGGTCTTGGACTTTAGCCCCGAGCCAATCCCTCCCTGTACATGCTCTCCCTCTCTCCCCCTATCTCCTTCTCTTCTTTGTCGGGTGACTCCTGAGAAATCAAACGAACTTCGTACATAGAAGAACCTAAACAGGAAAAGAAAAAGCTTTTGAATTTTTTTTTTATATCATTTTGTTGATCAGATACGTTCCATTTCTATCTTTTCTCTTTTCTCTTCCGCTTTCTTTTCATTATTCTGGATTTGGGTTTTCTTTGTTTCGAATTTTCTAATTGGTTTTGAGATGATTGACTGATAGTCTCTGTTAATTGAAAATTGATATGTGGGATTCATTTTATGCTCTTGTTTGTTTGTCTGTCATTTTGAATAAAGGGATGGTTAGGATTTCTGATAACTATTCTTCGACTTGGTGATATTACAGTTTTAGTAGGAATCAAAGCTAAAGCTAGTGTATGAATCTTTCTTTATAAAAAAAATCCAATCGGATTTACAAAGTTTGTTAACGTCCACCAACAAAAACATGAACTTGCAAGGCCGAAATCGATCAAGAAACCCTTCCCAATGCACTCGTCAAGAATGGGTTCCTAGAGGATCTTCATCTACGAGCGCCATCGTCGTAAGCAGCTCTCCAGCCGCCTCTAATTCAACCCCTAATGTTAACCACAACTCAACTCGAAATGATAATCGATATAGACAAATTGGTCTGCCTACAAACCATAGGAGAGATAGGGAAAAGGGAACGAGTGAGAATCATGTGTAGGTGAGGAAGGATGTTGATCCAAATTTGCCACAGCTGGTGCAAGAAATTCAGGACAAGCTTATCAAAAGTATGGTTGAGTGTATGATTTGTTATGATATGGTACGGAGGTCTGCCTCCGTATGGTCTTGCTCGAGTTGTTACTCCATTTTTCACCTCAATTGTATTAAGAAGTGGGCGAGGGCACCTGCTTCTGTTGATTTAGTGGCGGAGAAGAATTGGGGTTTTAATTGGTGTTGTCCGGGTTGTCAATCTGTGACTAAGAGATACGGTATGTTTGCTTTTGTGGGAAGAGGACAGACCCGCCTTCTGATTTGTACTTGACACCGCATTCATGTGGGGAGCCTTGTGGAAAGCCGCTTGAGAAGGAGCTGGAAGTAGGTGCTCGATTGATGAAGGATGAACTTTGTCCTCATGTTTGTGTCTTGCAGTGTCACCTTGTTCCATGTCCTCCTTTTAAGGCGTTTTCTCCACCGCGGTTGTGTCCTTGTGGTAAGAAAGTTATTACAACCAGATGCTCAGATAGAAAGTTTGTTCTTACTTGTGGTCAGCACTGTGATAAACTTCTTGAGTGTGGGCGACATCGGTGTGAGCAGATTTGCCATTTGGGATATTGTGGTCCTTGCCAGGTTCTAATTAATGCCTTCTGTTTCTGCAAGAAAAGGGTTGAAGTTGTCATCTGTGGAGACATGGCTGTGAAGGGAAAAGTTAAAGCAGAAGATGGTATCTTTTCTTGTAGTTCAACTTGTTGAAAGAAACTTACATGTGGAATCATAAATGTGCTGAGATTTGTCACCCTGGTCCTTGTGGGGATTGTGAGTTAGTGCGAAACAAGATCAGGTCTTGTTACTGTGGGAAAACAAGCTTGCAGGAGCAAAGGCAAAGTTGTTTGGACCCAATTTCAACTTGTTCAGAGGTATGTGCCAAGTTCCTTTCTTGTCAAGTGCACCAATGTGACCAGGTATGTCATGCTGGGGATTGTCCACCTTGTTTAGTTCTGGTCACCCAAAAATGCCAATGTGGATCAACTTCCAGGAGTGCGAAATGCTACAAAACAACTCTTGAGAATGAGAGATTTACATGTGACAAGCCTTGTGGGCATAAGAAAAGTTGTGGTAGACATCGATGTAGTGAGCGATGCTGTCCTCTCTCAAACTCAATTAATCTTCCCTTTGGCGATTGGGATCCAGACTTTTGCCAAATGGCATGTAGGAAAAAGCTGAGGTGTTGGCATAATTCTTGTGAATCTCTTTGTTATAGTGGCCACTGCACTCCTTGCTTGGAAACT